AAGACCAAGTGAACCAACCTGCGTGAAAAAACTGTACACTTAGTGAAATTATACAAATCTGAAATGTTTTTTCCAATTAATTTAAAGAGATAATATTACTAATTACAAAACCAGAACTTACCTATGCCCACTGTCTGCCTCCCTGCCCCTCACTCTACAATGTTCTGTTCTTCCCCCACTTCACTACCCATCCTCTAAAAGCTTCTGATTCAGGGTTGTTGATTTTGTCCATACTGAAAGGGAGAAAATTCTTGTCCAATTAAGGTTACATTCAAATGATCAAGGAGCTAGATTAAGGGTAAGGCAGGACATCAGAGAGGAACTCCTCAGGGTCCCCAGTAAGTGACAAGCTTTTGAGGTTCAGACCCCCTTCCCTTCAAATCACCAAACACCAGCAGCTTTTCCTGGCTGTTGAGTTGAGCAGGCTAAGCCTGAGTGAGAGGAGAGGATACTGTTTTTAAAAGGAGAAAGTGCTCTGTCTCCTCCTTGGAATCAACAGGTGGTTATTTGTGTGGTTTTCTGGACTTTCTCTAGGCCACCCTCATCATTGCATAAGCTTTTTCTAGACTGAGGAGGGGCTCAGGCTCTAGCTGAGGTCAGAGTGCCTCGGCCAGTCCCAAACTGGGAAGACAGCCTGCTACTCCAGGCTCTGCCAATCTCCCTGGTTGCTATTTTGACCTGGAGGTAGAGCAGATATGCACAGGTGTGGGTACATGTGCACATGCTGTGGGTTAGGATATCATGGCCCAAGGCTGGGCTGGTTTTATTTTGGATGTCACTTAGATGTAGCAACTTAGAGGTGAGAATGAGGGAACTCACCAGGGGCAAGCAGTGGAATGCCTGTCTCAAGTGCCCCATCATTGGGTGTTTGTTAGCATGGAGGCTGAGGAACATGTGTTGAAGGGGATGCTCTGAAAAGATCCCTGTAGCAGTCCCACATGATGTCTGAAGACCCTGAGACCCTATGACTCATTAGTCCCAGTCTCTTCTGGCCCCAGCACTCAGCATATGGATACTTTTAAGTGGGTACTACCCTTCTGTGAGTTTAGTTTCCTGTCTCCCTACTCTTCACTTGAGACTAAACTTCCTGGGACTTCCTCCACCCAGAACAGTTGTGGGATCACAGAGAGTAAAGAAGTGAGATTTTTCTCTGAGGTAACATAGAGCAGAAGGGATGCCACAGATAGAGACCTCATCTACTCACTACTAACACATCCATGTCTCCATCCACTCGCCTGTTTAACAAATATTTACTAAGTGCCTTCAATGTAGAATTCATCTCTTGTTCACTGCCAAATCCCCAGCACCTAGCATAGTGCTTCACATGTTGGAGGTGCTCAATAACTATTTATTGAGTGAGTGAATGAATGCTAAGCCCTATTCCAGTTGCTGCGTGGGTTTCAAAGCTTTAGGAGCCATGGCCTCAAGGAGCTTACTGCTTCAGTAGGAAAATTATACACATGAATTAAAAGTTAAATAATCGTACAAGGCAGCATATGAGGTATCGCAAGCCTGGGATTGATCAGGTGACCACAGAGCCTGACAGTAAGTCTTAGGAGTAAGGAGAAAGAGTAGATCAGAGAAGGCTGGTAGTGTCACAGGGAGTGTCCCAGCAGAGGCACCTGAACTTGGTCCTCAAGGATATTCAAGGAGAGGAAAACAGCAGAGTGCCGTACACACACCATATATCCTGGGCTAGCGTGGCTGGGCTGGGGATGTCACAGCCATGTGGGTGGGTACATTAGGGCTCTAGCCATGCTGTTTCTGACTGTCTCACTGGGCCCATCAAATTTGCCCACAATTACCCCCTCCCCTGTGGGTGGTAAGGTAATAATTCCTGTGGTAATGGGAAGGTGGGGTGGACTCTACCTAGGGGGTCTGCTTGTCCACAGCCCGCATCCCTGCTCATTTCCATTTGTTACTGTTCCTGAGCTGGGCCTAGGCAAACTTGTGAAGTAGATGAAGTATTTACTCGGGAATCCCACTGCTTCCCTTTTAGGGCACACCTGCCCATCTTCAGAATCTTAGGACTACTTGTATTATAATAATCCACCCTTTCTGGTCTGACCCTCTGACCCTCATATCCCATACCCCACCCCACCCTTTCTACCTACATTTAGGAGAGTTTATGGAGTGCTCTGCTAGGCGCGAAAGCAAATTCAGAAGAAATGGCAGATGGTGCTGGGAAAAGCTGCTGTAGTTACAGACTTGTGCCGTTGTGCCAGGACAGGGTGAGGCAGGGAGGTCTTAGCTTGTCTATGGTATCTCTGCAGCCACCACTCTTCCCCACCTCAACTTTGGTTCCAATGCATGGCCTGAAGTAGGGGTGGGATCTCCCTAGCCTTCAAAAAGAATTGCAGAGGACAGCTTTTGGGTTCCCAACTGGCCTCTCACCCACTTCATCCCCATTCTTTGGGCCGTCCCAGCCCAAAGGGAGAATAAGCAGTGGGGATGTGTCTCCCCAAATCCTCCCCACTAACACATGCTCACTGGTGCTGCATTTCCCCAAACCAGGCCTGAAATGGGGCTTTGATAGGGAATGGGAGTTCAGAAAGAATACAAAGAGAAGGTTGGAGAGAAGGAATAATAGTAGCAAACCTTGGCTAGGCATGGTGACTCACGCCTGTAATACCAGCACTTTGGGAAGCTGACACGAGGGTTGCTCAAATCCAGGAGTTCGAGACCAGCTTGGGCAACATAGCAAGACTCTGCCTCTAAAAATAATTTTAAAAAATTGGCGGAGCATGATGCCACACATATATAGTTCCAGTTACTCAGTAGGCTGAGGTGGTAGGATCACTTGAGCCCAGGATTTCAAGGTTGCAGTGAGCTATGTTCATGCCATTGCATTCCAGCCTGGACAAACAGAGCAAGACCCTGTCTCTGTTTCAGAAAGAAAAAAAAAATAGCAAACCTTTGTTGAGCACTTGCTGTATGCCCACACTGTGGTGCTAAGTACTTGATGGGTAACTCACCTGATGTTCCTGGAATCCCCATGGGAGGTACTATGATGAATATTATTCCCACATACAGAGGAGGGAACAGGTAAGTTCAGAGGCTGGCCCAGGACCACACAGACACAGGTAGAGAAAGCAATTGAACTGACCATGTTGCTCCAGAACCTCTTAACTACTCTGTCATGTGGCTGCCCCTAATCTCTTCCCAGCTTGGGCAAATAGTTTATTTGCATTACCTGAGTTGGGAAAGGAAGACAGATAGTGGCCCCAGCCTCACCCTGGAGATCCTGATACAGCTGGTCTAGGGGGCACCTGTACATTCACATTTTTTCAAAAGCCCCCAGGGAATTCCAGTGTGCAGCCCCAGGGTTGAGAACCACTGGTTTAAACCAGTCCACACCCAGTAGCATCAACTGGTTTTCCAGCTAGTAACACCTGCATCCTGAGAGAACAGACTAAGATGAGACTGTGCTGTGAGTGTTGAAGGGTCCTTGCAAGGACAAATTCTGGGTGGGCATGTATGGTAGGAGGGAGCTCTGGAAGAATGACTGATAGAAGGAGGAGATACTGGGTATAATTTGGGGCCCTCTTTCACAGCTTTGTCTTAGGTCTGTTCTGCTTGGAAAGACTCCAACCAAACGTTGAAGGGACATCTTCCTCAGCAGGTACCCAGCCAAGTAAGGAAAGCTGAATATGCCTCAAAGTATTAGCAGAGCAATTCAGTGACAGCTGTAAATGAACTGAGGAAAACAGTCCCCTTGGACCAGGAACTCACCAGGAACGGGGCTTACAAGGAATAGCTTTTGGGAAGAAAAATTTGAGCCAGAATGGGAAGCTGAGCATAGTGTGGCTGGAACAGAAAAGTGAGGAATGCATCTGCAATGTGAATAATGAAAATATGCAAATGCATAGAAAGGAATAGGATGGTTAGACGTTGTAGAGGGAACAGGAAGAGATAATGTCTTCCAGAGCAGAGCCTCTTTGCTGGAGAGGGATAAGCATTGTGAGCAGGGAGGTGAGGGAGAGGGGTTAGATGGTGGCAGAGGTCTGGCTGTAGGAGGGGTCTAAAGAATCTGGCCAGGTGTGATGTAATCCCAGTGCCTGTAATCCTAGCACTTTGGGAGGCTGAGGCGGGCAGATCACTTGAGGTCAGGAGTTTGAGACCAGCCTGGCCAATGTGGCAAAACCATGTCTCTATTAAAAATACAAAAATTAGCCAAGTGTGGTGGCACGTGCCTGTAATCCCAGATACTCAGGAGGCTGAGGCAGAATAGCTTGAACCCAGGAGGCAGAGGTTGCAGTGAGCCAAGATCACACCACTACTGTACTCCAGCATGGGTGACAGACTGAGACTTTGTCTCAAAAAAAAAATCTGCTAGGAGGCCTGGTTTGTGGTGATCAGCATCAAGATCCACTCTAGTACTGATGAGCACTGAATGGGAGGCAAAGGGAAGAACTGGGAGCCCATATAGTCTGACACAGTCTCTAGTGAAGCATCAGCTGATTCAGAGACAGTCACATACCTCTGATATGGCCAGGGGAGCAGTTCCAGACCAGTATCCATGCTGCTGGACCCAGGGAGCATCTCTTGTTCAGAACCCCACAGCAGTGCTATCCTGTGGTGTGCTAATAGCAGTGCTAGTTCTGTGGTGTTGGAAATGTTCCATATCTATGCTTTCCACCATGGTAGCCACTAGCCACATGTGGCTATTGCGCATTTGGCCTGTGGCTAGTGCAACTGAGGAAGTGAATTTTAAATTAAATAACCACATGTGGCTAGTGGCTGTCATACTGTAGAGCATCTATTGCCTGACCAGTGACTTAATACCATCTCAAGCTTCCTGTGTTGGGACCCTACTGTTTACCAGATAATTTATTAGCCAGTTTACACAAATTATCCCATCATCTACTCACAGCCTCTCATAAAGAGGTATTATCATCCCCATTTTAAGGGGGAGGAGATGGAGAATAAGAAAACCATCCCTAGAGAGGGGTAGAGCTAGATTTGAATCTGGGACTGACTGGTTCCAGTACTTATGATCGTTCTGTGATAGCATACTTCTTTGTATTGTTTTCTGTTCATCAGTTGCACAAACGGATTCTCCACAGAGCACCTTAGCATCTATGAGGACCCTCTTGCCCTTACCTATGAACTAGTCTTCCATGCCCTCTCTTCTCCATTCTTTCACTTTGAGATGACTTCCCAGGATGGGCCAGCAGGTAGACACCATGACTACGGAGCCCGAGCGAGGTGGAGAGTAAGTGTAGACAGAAGCTCCCAGCACTTAGAATCAACTGGTATGATGGTTGGCTGCAGAGGGGTTGAAGGGTAGAATGCAGAGCTGAATGGAAACCTGTGAGATTTGAGGCAGGGTGTTTGGGGATTTCAGTTCTCTTCTTAGCCCCAGGAAGCTTCAGAGCATAAAACCAGAGGACAGGTAATTGTCTCAAGCTAGGACTCTGGGTATCTACAAATTGGAGAGAATACTGGTTCATGCATCCATTCACTCAGTAAAAATAATCAGTCACTTAAGGATTTGGATTCAAAAAGGCTATAATGAGTCCTGAAAATCTGCATTTTAATAAAACCCAGGCAATTCTATGGCCCATAGATCACACTTGGATATCAAATTGTCTTGGTGTCAAATCTCATCTCCTTTCTGTGCTCAGTTGTGGGATCACAGGAGAGTAATGCCTCCCATTCAGTGCTCGCTCACTTGCAGGCTGCTACTTTAAGACACTATTTTGGGTTTCCCAGTTTACAACTGGAAGTAGTCTCTTTCTCCTCTGATCTGCCCTGTAACACAGGTTCTCAACCTTGACTACACATTAGAATAACTGGAAGAGCTTTAGAAAAATACTGATGGCCCAGTCCAGACTATTTGACCAGAATCTCTGGGGTTGCAGCTTGGACATCTCCTAGGAGAGTTGACTCTGATGTGCAGGGTCGAGGACCCCCTCACCTTATGTCTCATGCCTTCAGGGCATGTGCCACATCCTGCTCCATGTTTTTTGTTTCTCCTTTGGGCTGGGCTGAGTCACCTTTGAGCCTCCACAGCTATTATGGCGCCTTTCACAAACACACGCAATAAGGCGTTTTCAACTGAATAACATGTTTCTCTATTTCAGTTCAGATTTAAGGGCACCATAATATTGCCTCAGAAGTTGGAATCTTTTGCCCAAAGACTCTTTTCTACGTCCTTTCTTTCTTTTTTTTTTTTTTGAGACGGAGTCTCACCCTGTCACTGAGGCTGGAGTGCAGTAGTGTGAACTCGGCTCACTGCAACCTCCACCTCCCTGGTTCAAGCGATTCTCCTGCCTCAGCCTTCTGAGTAGCTGGCATTACAGGCGCGCATCACCACACCTGGCTAATTTTTGTATTTTTAGTAGATTTGTATTTTAGGGGTTTCATCATGTTGGTCAGGCTGGTCTCGAACTCCTGACCTGCTAATCCGCCCACCTCGGCCTCCCAAAGTGCTGGGATTACAGGCGTGAGCCACCGCGCCCGGCCTCATCTATGTCCTTTCTTAACCATCCTCTTTTTGCTAGATTGTGAGTGGCCTCTTCCTTCAAGTATAGCTCTGTGTATAGCACCTATTGTTAGAGCAAGGGCCAGGAGACAGAGGAACACTGGGGATTAGGGCCCAAAGGGCTGCACTTATTAGGCTTCAGGTAGCTGGTGCCAACCTCTGCCAGCTCTGGATGTCTCTACTGTTGGCAGCACAGGGGCCGAGGAAAATCATCCAGGATAGAACATTTTTCCTGTAAAGCTTCTTGGCTCCATGGTGGGCAAGTGGAAGCAGGCCTGGTCTCAAGCAGAATCATGAGACAGATGAAGATCCCTCAGATGCCCCATCTCCCTTTTTTCCTCCTTTACCAATGATTGCTGGACCCTGCCACCTTCCTAGAGGCCACTGTTCCCATGCCTTTCCCTTAACCCTCCCTCTAAGCCTCGTTCGTAAACTCATTCACTTTAAGTTGATTATTCCTAATCAAGTTAAGTATACTACCCACTCTAAGGGTTTTTTTGTTTGTTTTCAAATTTTAAAAAGGAGTGTTTCGAATGATGGAGTTTTAGCTGTCACTGTGAATTAAGTATTTTTGAGGGCAGTGGGGGTTCTTTCTGAATTCCCAAAATCAGTGTCTGCCCACTCTGAAATCAGAGAGATGTGGGACAGCACCTGTTTCTGGAGGGGTCACTGCCTCTGTTTTAGAGAAGAGGGGATTCTGCCCTTGGAAGCCCACCTTCAAGACACCCCTTAGGGGTGCCAAGAGGTTCTCATGTGCCCCCTTTGCCCCTGCCAGATGTGGATGAGTGTGTGGAAGGGACTGACAACTGCCACATCGATGCTATCTGCCAGAACACCCCGAGGTCATACAAGTGCATCTGCAAGTCTGGCTACACAGGGGATGGCAAACACTGCAAAGGTGAGGCTGGGAGGGCACCTGGAGGAGAGGGACCTGTGGAAGAGGGCACACCAGTGCCACTGCCCTCAGTTGGCCACTCTCCATCACACCAAGGCTAGAAATTCCACTGGTCAAGTAGTGGGGGGGAGGTGAGGGGGGCAACTACATCTTCCCAGAGAGGGTGCCATTTTCTAATTTGCACAAAGGCACCATGCAGGCTAGCAGAGGTCCTGGTGGGGACAGTTTACAGCCCACAACCCGGCTGGGGTGGGAGCATGAAAATCATGAGACTTAGGCCTGAGGTTCCCTGGCATTGGAACTTTTATCTTTAGACCCTTACACCACGTCCACAATGGACGGGAACAGAAAGTGTGCTTCAGAGGAAGTTCATAATGTAAACACATTTTCCTCTCATAATTAAATCAATGCAAATTAAAGTAGCCTTGAGATACTAAATTTATGAGCTTCAGTGTTGGTGAGACTTTAGTGGACAGGGTACACTTGTTAATTCCTAGTTGCATTATAAATTGAAAAGTAATTTTGTAATACCTACCAGGAATCTTAAAAGGTATTTCCTTTGATCCAGAAATTTTACTCTTGAGAACTTATTCAAAGAAACAAAATGATAAATGGGAGAAGGTGTTCTTTGATGCATTATCTATGATTGTAAAATAAATGAAATAAGTCTAAATCTGTAACAATAGAGAAAAGAGTTATAAGAATAGAAAAATAATATTCTGCAACCACATACAGTGGTAATTAGAATGACTGGAGACCTGAAAATGTTTATGACTTAGGTTTAAATGAAAACAGAAAAATGCTAAATGGCTTATAGGCTATGAACATTACTATGTAAACACAACAATAAGGCTGAGTCTGGGGGGTGGACAGTGGGTTCACAGGTGGGTTCATCTGTCTCAGCTTCTCTTTGCCTACAGACGTGGATGAGTGCGAGCGAGAGGATAATGCAGGTTGTGTGCATGACTGTGTCAACATCCCTGGCAATTACCGGTGTACCTGCTATGATGGATTCCACCTGGCACATGATGGACACAACTGTCTGGGTAAGCAAAGGAGAGGGGATTTGGTGGAGGGATGTCTTGTGGAGAAAGAGATCTTTTCAGCATTTCCTATTTCCCAGGGAAGGAGGAGCGAGTGATCAAAAAGAGCTACATTTACAAGAGAATAAGGTCAGCCTCCCCTTTGAGACTGGCCACTTGGAATGAAAAATCCTGCTGGATGAAAAACATTAGAGGAGAAGTTGCTATGAAATGCTCCTAGGGCAAGGGCCAGGAGATGGGAATAAGGGGTTTAGCCAGTGGTGAGGCATGGTAGGAAGCTGATTTGGCTCCACACAGATATCTTGGTTCTGCTGCTTACTAGCCTTGGGTCTTGGGCAAATCAGCCAATCTCTGGAAATCTCAGCTTTCTCCTCTCTAAAATGGGGGTGGGACCAGGTGTGGTAGCTCACACCTGTAATCCCAGCACTTTGGGAGGCTGAGGCAGAACGATTGCTCGAGCCCGGGAGTTCAAGACAGGCCTGGGCAACATGGTGAGACCCTGTCTCTACAAAAAATAATAATAATAATTAGTCGTGGTGGTGCACACTTGTAGTCCCAGCTACTTGGGAGCTCTTCCTTGGCTTGAGCCCAGGAAGTCGAGGCTGTAGTCAGCTGTGATTGTGTCACTGCACTCCAGACCGAGCAATCCTATCTCAAAAAATAACTAAAATAGAATGGGGTGGTAATAACTCACTCGAAGGCTGCTGTGCGAATCACCACAAGACAACATATGAAAAGAGCCCTGTACAATCCTTAGCACGTAGTAGGAGCTCAGTAATGGGAAGAATGTTGTTGATGATGATGACAGGGCATCCCTATGCCCCAGGGAGCCTCTGACCCTTGCAGGCTTGTTTTCTCCCAGTTCTTCCTGCAATCTCCAGTCTCACCCTCTCCTCACTGATCTCCTTTGTCCCATGAGCTGGATCAGAGATAAGAGAATCTCTAAGGAACTGAACTCAACTTTGGTCTCTGTCATTTTGGAAAATTACTTTGACTCTTCCCCAAGTAGAAAATTTGAAGCTCATAGCAGAAAAGGATTTGAAATTTGAACCCAGGGCCTTCTCCTAAATTCCTTTGCCCTGTAGCCACAACAGAAAACAGGCACTAGCAGCAGAAAGGACCAGGAAAGGAAGAGAAACAAAAGGAATGATGCCCATAAAAGCAGGCTGGGCTGGTCCCCACCCACCAATTGACCAAACAGATGAATTATCTGAAGTCCTATTGGCTGAGAAGAACCTCCTTACTGCAGAGCTGCCTCCAAACCTAGTCATAACCCATCACTGGACCCAGGCTATAGGTTTCTACACCCAATCCAGGCCTCCAAACCCTGGTATCTGCTGAGCCCTTAATCCCAGCCCTGGTCACCTCTCCTACCATTTTAGCTTCCAAGGAAGGGCCTCATATCTGCCCAATCACCCTTGAGGGCCTCTTATGAAACTCAATTGGGAAGGGAAACTGTGGCAGTTAGACCAGGACAGTTGCCTACAGGACATGCACATACGCTTTTGAGTTCTTTGGCTGCCTTTGACTTTTCTAGGCCCCTGATTCTCACCATATCTTGTTTCCCTATAAGTGTTTTGGGGAGAACCAACCAGAGGAACAAGAGAATGATTAGGTATAGAGAGGGTCAAGGGACAAAGATTACCTAGGGTTAGGGTTCCCCTACCTTTGGCTCTTAGGGGAATTTTGAGAAAGTTGTCCATGCTCTGGGACTTAGCTTCCCCACTGAGAATTGGAGGAAAGAGCTTGGCTACAGTAGCAAAGCCACAAGGTTAGATGGTAAGGGGAGCAGACAGAAGGATAGAATGTAGGATGTGGCAAGAGCAGGAAGACAGGGATGGGGGAGAAGTCAAGAGAATAGCAAAAGATAGGGTGGAGACAGGAGCAAAGCACAGGAAGGTACACCTTAGCTCTTCCAACAGGTGTACCTCTCAGGCAAGAGCCAGCTGGATCTGGGCCCCTCTGCCCTGGCCAGAAGGGGAAGAGAGGGTTTCAGGATCTCAGCAGAGAGGGTGGGAAGGCAGATGAAGCCCTCAGGAGCCCAGATTCTAGCTGCTCCATTTGACAACCAATCTGCATGATGCCTCCCAGGCCAAGGCAAACTGAGAAGGGCCATGGACTTGGGAGGGCAGTAGCTAGCGTAGAGATGGAGTCAAGGTGTTGAATTGGGGCCCCAGGGTGAGCTTGGCTCTAGAACCTAGGGGTGGTGATTTGGGGGTGAGAGCCTACTGTTCTTCCTGCCCCTAACCCCCACCATCTAGGGTGTGGCCTGGCAGCTCTCCCCAGATCCCTCCCCGCCAAGTTGTCAGACTTTGTTTTGTTAAACCAAAATAGGAGAAAGGCTAGAAAATATGGCAGCAAGCCCAGGCAGAGGGGGGAGGGGAGGAAGGATGGGGCCGTGGCCTGTCCACAGAAATGGTCCCTGACCCACAAGGAGTTGAGGCTCAGCTGCCTTTCCCCACCCTGCCCCTCCAACCTCAGCACCATGGCCATAGCTCTGCCTGCACCCAGAGTCACTTCCCAGGTTCCTACATTCCCTGGCTGCTCATTGCAACCAGCTGTGACCCCCTATTACCTCTCCAACCAATGTGACCAATCTCCATCCTTACCTTCATTACTGTTCCTCTTGCTCTGGCTTCTTTCCTGGTATCCTCTGTCCTCATACCCAGTTTACACAGGTGAGGGAAAGGGAGGCATGGCTTCACCTAGGTGACATGTGAGGTTCAAAGGTCCCCTTTTCCCCCACTTGCTTAGCTTCCCAGCTCTGCCCTCAGGGCAGCCTTTTAAAACTTAGTGGAATATTAGCTGACAAGGGTGTGAGGACTTCCTGGCTTAAGGCTGGGCTTAGGGGGTGGTAGTTCTTAAGACTGCCTTTGGTGCTGAAGTCTTGGGATACACCCTGGACCCTGCCTGCACCCCATGGCCCCACCGACTACCTATCCTGCACAGATGTGGACGAGTGTGCCGAGGGCAACGGCGGCTGTCAGCAGAGCTGCGTCAACATGATGGGCAGTTATGAGTGCCACTGCCGGGAAGGCTTCTTCCTCAGCGACAACCAGCATACCTGCATCCAGCGGCCAGAAGGTCAGCCCATGACCTGGGATGGCCCCATCCCTGTCCTCCCCAGGCTTCTCTTCCCAGCTGTCCCTCAACAGCCCCTAAGTCTCACTGTCTGTTCTCACCTCAGCTAGCTCCTCCTTCTCTTGTCCTTCAATTCAATCACACCCCAAAGGATCTAGGAACAGACACCCTGTTAGGGCAAAATCTGGAGAAATTACTTTGAGGTTGGGGTCAATATGGGATTAAGGCTACTATGGAGTATCCTCTGTGTCCAGACCTGAGGTGGATGTTGTCCCTAATTGTAGGTGGCTGAGCTTCTCTAAGCTGCTGCCTATCTGAGAGGGCCTCACCAATACCTTTTCCCTTGTATTGGCCTGGGAGGGTCAGGCAGGAATAATGGGTTTATATTGTCTGTTTCTATGACTCATGCCCCCCACTCCCACTAGACTGTGACATCCCTGAGGGCAGGGACTATGTCTAATTCATTGTTGTATCTCCAGCACCTAACATACTGCCCAGCATGTAGTGAGAGTTTAATAAATGTTTGTTGAATAAAATTGCATAGTAAATATCTATACCAGTTACCTTCCACTCGCATTGTAGATCTGATTTCTACTGATCTTCTTCTCAGTTTGACTGTAAGCTCTTTGAGGGGAGTAATCACACCTTGTATTTTTTTCGGACCTTCCTAAATCCACCCCATCTCCAGCACAGTGCTGGATACCTATTATACACAATTTTTTGGTTGTTTGAAGGAGAGGGTGATCATTTGTTCGGATGAGTATCAATAGCTAGCTATTAATACATCATTCAGAACAGCTCTGAGCTCTGCTCATGAGCACCCAGGTCTGTGGGGAAGACAGGAGGCCTGGGACAAGGAGAGTCAGTCCCCTCCTTGTGTTGAATTCAACCTCAGTGGAATTCTCCCAGGTCTCTAGGTCCCCAGTTGCCCCTTGTAGTCCTCCTCTTCTAGACATCCAGGGGTACAGAGCATTCACCCCCCTTTCTTCTCTTTTAGAAGGAATGAATTGCATGAACAAGAACCATGGCTGTGCCCACATTTGCCGGGAGACGCCCAAGGGGGGTATTGCCTGTGAATGCCGTCCTGGCTTTGAGCTTACCAAGAACCAACGGGACTGTAAATGTGAGATAATTGGGATGGCAGGTGGGGCAGTGGGGTCAGGGGTGAAAACAAAGAGGAGGGGTATAGGGCTTAGGAGCAAGAGGATAGGGCTGGGAGGAAAAGGGAGTATAGGGGAGGCAACTAGGCAAGGGGGCCAGTACCCACATTGTAGAAAACTGTGGAACCCAGGGAGGAGCAAGCTGACAGGGCCCTGTCCTCTCTGTGCACAGTGACGTGCAACTACGGTAACGGCGGCTGCCAACACACATGTGATGACACAGAGCAGGGTCCCCGGTGCGGCTGCCATGTCAAGTTTGTGCTCCATACCGACGGGAAGACATGCATCGGTGGGTGAGGCCAGGGGAGAACTCAGTCCACCTGAGATGGGGGTGACGGTGGGACCCCTTGGGAACCGGGGAAGTGGAGGAGTGCATGGGGCCCAGGTGCTGGGAACAGAGGGACTGGTGAGGGAGTTAAGACCCAGAAAATGCCAGGTCTAGTAAGGGACAACTCTAAGAGAGACTGAAGGGCTCCCTGGCCCTCTTCCCCTCCCCAACCCAGTGGTTTTACCACCCTGTTCCAGGAGCCTCACCATCCTCTTCATCCCCGGAAAAAGTGTTGCCAAACTGGGAATAATTAGCAGAGTTGCTTATTGACCAAGGCTGTAGTTGAGAACTGGGAAGAGAGCTGGGGAAATGCATCTCCTTAGGCCTGACCAGAGGCCCTTGGTTGACTAGTGTGATAAGAGAGGAATTGTCAAAGCCAAGTGTCCCCACTCTGCACCTGAGGGTGGGACAGAGTGCTCCTTCCTGGAACAACCATCCCTGAACTGACAGATGGGGTTTCCTGGCTCCAGGTATCTTTTTCCTCTTTATTCTTTCTCTCCTCACTCTCCTCCTGCAACTCCCCTTTCTACTCACCTCACCCTTGCCCCCATTTCCTTCTCTCTCCTCCAGATACCAGTGGTACTCCCTCTCAGCTCCACCAGCAATCCTCTTTCTTCCTCACCAACTCCAGCCTTCCATCTCTCACTTTGATTTGAGGCCCTCTTAACCTGGATCCCTCTTCCTGAATTCTTAGGCCTTATCTCATATATTTTCAGGTACCCTAGATGACTTTAATTCCTTAAAGTTAATTCCTAATTCCCTCAGCCTTTAGGTCTTTAGTGCTGAGAAAGATAATGGAACAAGGTTTCCTCTTGGAGAAGTGGGAAATAAAATGAAGAGGTTTGGCTGAGAGAGAGGCTGTGTTTTCACCCAGGCAGGGCACAAGCTTGCT